GGTTGGCTATGCCGCTGTACTATTCGGGGGAATTGTAGGCGTACGTTGAATAGCAGCACCATTGTAAGGATAAACAGTAATATGTTTATTTGGTAACGATTCAAATATATAACTTGTTATCGTCTGACCTACACCATAGAATAAAATACAATAGCATCTATAAGAAATATACAGGCTCCCTTTTCCGTACTGTTCATTATATAAATTCTGAAGTGTATATTTATAACTTGTAATAATTTATTGCATTATCTCACATATCCTCTACTTACTAACACTTCCTGTGAACACTTTAGTAATAATGATTTTTTTTTCTTAATATAAGTGTTTTAGTTGTTGATATGATATTCTTACTTATTAATTTTGACGCTGTAAATGTGTTTTTGATGTGACACTGTTGGGAGACTTGGTGAACATGAATTAGAGAAAGGTATCATCCACCAACCACAACCACCACAAGAGCCTCAAAATCATCAACCACATTCACCACTTATATTTTGTGAACACGTGACATTATCAACCAGAAAAAAACAATAACATTGTGTTTTAGCAGCGAGTATATTAGCAATCAAAACCTCGTTGCTGAAATATTAGTCATGAGAACCGAGGCTGTATCATGTTACCCAGCCAATGGTGATAACACTCAGTCACTTAACATAACCTGACAAACACCGCGATAGAAGAATCGCAATAATGACGATTGGATAAGAAAGCAAATGAGTCTTCATGTGTCAACAGAGTCATAGCAGGGATCACAACAAGTAACAATTCGGACAGGGGCCATGTCATCTTGACCTGGGCAGAAAATACAGTGTCAATATTTTTCATTATGTAATTTTAACAGATCGTCATCACTTTGCGTTAATGTTATATTTGGGAGGAGATTAAATAACAGAACTTATACATGCAACAATATTTATTGTTTATATGCAGTTTACAGTTTGACTAATATTGATACTCGAGCAACTATAAAACACAATAGAAAATTTTACGATCCTGCCTAAGGTCGTCATTTTCTGTAGTTCCAGGAAATTATGAAGAGAAGTTGAGTGGTGGAGACGTATAGAAAGATGCTCATCGTGGTCAGTCACCTGGGGGTTAGAAATCCTTTATATACCATCTTGTATAAAAAATATATGACACGGAAATGTGTTACGTAAACAAAAAAAAATGTAAATACAAAAGAGAGATAAAACTTACAGGAGATATTTCAACCCCGGTGGGGGGGCCAGCATGGGCAGCAGTCGGGAGATGATGGTCTCTGTGATCCCCGATGAATCGTGATCTCGATCGTTATTTTGATGGTTTGTGGACAGCGGCAGCAAGGATACTGGGCTGCTCGCTCCACCCGAGCCTCCGACATGGATGAGAACAAATTTATGGGACTCTCCTGTATAAAAGATCGTTAGCGTCAATGGCAGAATTCTTGTTATTGCTCAACATGATATTATCTCTCTCTCTCTCTCTCTCTCTCTCTCTCTCTCTCTCTCTCTCTCTCAACTACATATCTTCGGAACTCACTTAAGCATGTTGGGAAGTGTACCACACAAATGACCACAACACTGGGATTAAACTAGCCTAGAAATTTGCAAAGATTCATAGATAAGGCACAGACGATGACGTGGACACGGACGCATGGTGTTTTGTGGACAAAACACAACATAGTATGGTCACACACACACACACACACACACACACACACACACACAAGCACACAGTGGTGTAAAAAAAAATCGTGTATGATGTATCGAGTATTGGTTGTATAATGTAATAAATGTTAATAAAAAAACTTGAAAGAATGAAAAATAAACTTGTACATCACGATGACTTATGTCCACCGAGCTTGAGGAATGAGTCTTACTAAAAATGTTGACACATCTTAGCGCTCATACAGTAACTAGGTATATAAAATTAGGTCAGTAAATATATCTTAGTTTTGTTTAGTGTTTATAACCAGACAACAGGAGTGTAAGGGAGGACATACCGCAGGTGCTGTGAGTGTTACCACCAGCAGGAGTGTAAGGGAGGACATACCGCAGGTGCTGTGAGTGTTACCACCAGCAGGAGTGTAAGGGAGGACATACCGCGGGGGCTCTGAGTGTTACCACCAGCAGGAGTGTAAGGGAGGACTTACCGCGGGGGCTGTGAGTGTTACCACCAGCAGGAGTGTAAGGGAGGACTTACCGCGGGGGCTGTGAGTGTTACCACCAGCAGGAGTGTAAGGGAGGACTTACCGCTGGGGCTGCGTGTGTTCCCACCAACAGGAGGCTCAGGGCCATCACCAGCATCATCATCATGCACTTCATATTAATGAGCTGTTGAAAAAATACAAGTCACACAAAATAAAAATGTTCATGTGGAGGTTTATGAAGAGCACACACAAGAATGTTATTAACACAGGGGAAGTGTTTGTGTTTATCTCAGTCTGTTATTGTAAGCAAACTGAGAACTGTGAGGACTGTTGAGAAGGAGGGAAGAGGTAGAACCTTACCTAACCCGTCTGTTTTGCTGGAAGACAAGTTGTGTATGTTCTCCCTCGAGTCTTCTCACTGTATATATACCGGACTGGGCTGGCCTTGAAGGGGGTGGGGGGTGGAATGTGTGGAAGTGGATCAGTGCAAGGGAGCTAAAACACATACACATACATACATACATACATACATACATACATACATACATACATACTTTGCTGTCACTCGGAATTGAGTATGACGATTATCCAGCTATGATACAATGATATGAATTATTAGGGATGTCACCTAGGTTGGTGAGTTTTGAGGTGAATAAAGAGGTCGATACGGGAACGGCAGAGTTGTTTACAGATGTTTCATATGTGGATGGTTACATCGAGTACGGGAGGGGTGATGGAAGAGTCTTTCCGGCGCTAGCGCTTGTCTGCCTCGGTTTGCAGTCGGGCTAAATTGAAAGTATTGACATGTTCTCGTGGGAGGCTCCTCCAAGCGTTACGGTGAGGAATAATCGACTCTCATGTGAGGGGGTCGATTTGGCACTTTTTCAGGTTTGTCTTATAACTATTCTTATACATTTTCAGTTGCCCGCCAACGTTACACTTACTATTCATTAGGTGACTGTAAAGTAGTTGCTTTGGCAGTCTACTGTCATCCATGCGGGTAACATTGCCAGTCCAGCGTAGTTGTTCATGGCTAATGGTAGTATATTAGCCCCTGTCCTATAGGCAGAATATTTATATAAATGGGTTAATTGCATTAGACTTAAATAAATATCACCCCCTGTAACTTTCTACTTGCTATGAGGTAGCATGTTCAGAGCACGTGACAAGGTGTGCCCACGGGAAGTCACGTCACTTGGTGCTGAGTTAAGCATTAAATAACCGGCTCTTTGACCACCTATTGCAGGCAGTAGTTTGATAACCCTTACTAGAGGAAGACGTTATTTAGAGCAATCGAGGGAGGACGTCGGACATTTTTCCCTTCTCCCTCAAGAAGTCTCTACTCAAGTCTTCACTCAATCCTCACCTCAATTAACTCTCAATAGCTACAAGGAGATAATTTACGGTAAAGCCCTTTTTGAAAGTGAATATAAGAAATATTTTTATAATAAACGAAGAAGTCACAAGCAGCGGATCGACGGACCCATATACGCACGTATACTATAGAAGGTAACAAACATTCACCAGTGCCTGTTACGAGTGTGACAAGCGCAGCTCAAGGTGACCCCAGTCTCCAGTCTTTTTTTTTTTTTTTTTTTACGGGGATTAGCCCACCCAGGCACAGGTCACTGACCCACGTCGGGGCCTAGGGGGCGAAAATGTAATTATAATAATAATAATAATAATAATAATAATAATAATAATAATAATAATAATAATAATAATAATAATAATAATAATAATAATAATAATAATAATAATAATAATAATAATAATAATAATAATAACAATAATAATAATAATAACAATAATAATAATAATAATAATAATAATAATAATAATAATAATAATAATAATAATAATAATAAAGAACCATAAAGAAATACAAATTGAAGAAAAAAATTAGTGAGAAACAATATACAGTATATATGTTGTGTTGTCAATAGTAAGAGAAACAATTGAGACCCTGCAATTGTGTGTAAATGAGGCAAAAAGTCAGATCAGCAACCTGGGACTTGGTCACAATTTTCGTGATGCCATATGACAGCAGGGTCTACCATAGACAACACATTATGCTTCCAATATCTTCCCAGGCGGTAGTACCTCCCTGTTTGGTAGCTGCCTAATACCTACTACCTGTAGTCTACAGTGGTAACAGTCGAGGTATTACCTCGACGAGGTAATCTTATCTCTTGTTCCTACTGTTACAAAAAAGATATTATTACACAGTTGGCAAAGCGTAGCTTAAGAGGACATCCTCTTACACTACGTGACATTGAATCTCAGTAGCCATTTCTTCGACCATTCCTGGAGCTCACAGAGATCCTTCTGCAGTTCTTCATAGTTCGCTTGGTGCTTGATTTCTCGAAATAACTTGGTCGTCATAGGCAAACATTTGTATGGAGGAGTGTACAACGTCAGGCACGTCATTTATGAATCAAACAAACAACAGCGGGCCCAATACACTGCCCTGTGGTACACCGTTTGTGACAGGTACAGATGATGATTTCGTGCCATTAATCACCACACACTGCTTGCTGTCTTGTAGAAAGTCTTCTGTCCACGCTAGGACATTTTCCGAATTCCATACCCTTCCAGTTTGAATTTTAGCCTTTCGTGGGGTACACTGTCGAAAGCCTTGGCAAATTCTAGGTATATATTGTCGATATTACCACCCCGTTCCAGAGTATAGCTGCCTACTACCTACTACCTAGCAACAACTCTAAGGAAACATAATATCACCGTTTAACAAAAGACTTCAAGCTTATCAAAAGAAAGGGACTGGTAACAACTGTAGCACCATCACATATTGGGAACACCACAGCCGATTACAATGCCAACACGTGGTAACGTTACGTTACATCCACACTAATATTAAATTACGACATTCGTTCAAACATTATTGAGGATTTATAGTTTGTATACTAAGACTATTTCTCTGTTTCCTTAATTAAATTCACCTAAAAAAAGGACGCTCTGCATCAACATTGGACGTCAGAAGTGACAATACTTCCATTGCTATTGTCCAAAATATTTATATTTTGCATCTCCCTCTTCATTTAAAACGCTAATTACAGGTTTATAAAATTGCTGACTCTTTTGGGGTGTAATCATACCGCAAGTCTCCACAATTTACTGTTTAATTCGAATCTTTTCTTTAATTCCCTACACACTACAACTAGAAATCTCTGCACCACACCAGTATTCTTGCTTATCTTATAATACTCTAGCCTATGGAAGGTGGCATGTAATTGCAATCCCAAATATATCTGATTGACTGCTACATATAAGGAATCATCGGTTGGATCAATACCATGCATTTGGAGTTTGACACACTATGTAAATGGCAAAAGGAGTTTAGCAATAACAGATGCAGTTGACATTTGCTTTACGGATTAAATGCAAAGTTGGGGCTTTACTCTGAAAAATCAAGTGTATTGTGTTGAGTTGCGGCAATTTGTAATTCAAAATTCAAGTAGCAGAACACCCCATTCTCTCCTCAATTACCCTGATGTGGAAATACAGTTTGAAGGGTGTTAACGCTCATAGGAGCGTTATTGGTTTGATGCTGGAGAAATAAACTCTCAACGTTGACGCGTACCATATAATTCGGTCAAAACCTGTTAAAGAACAATTCACATATAACAAATGCCGTTATCTCAGGACACATAGAATGAATAATACAATCAATATACAGTAAATAGCCTGTTAACATCTTAAGTATAACTCACATGTTAAATCTGTTGATACATCAGGAGACAAGTTGTATAATATGATCAAAATACAGTACATAAATATACTTATTAAAGTTAATTAGAGTTTATATTTACGTTTTAGGGTCTTGGGTTCGACCAGCGTGTTGTTTCTTCTGCAAGAATTGGTAGACTACTGAGCCATCGCCATCCAATCGCAGCCCTAGGCGAGGGCATCTGTTATATATTAGACGACCAACAAACACGTTGTCAGCAATGCCCCCCCTTCTCACCCTCTCTCTCTCTCTCTCATGTTTATCTTACTGTGGCGGTAACAAAGGGGTTGCCACTGTTCGAGCATTCTTGCAACAGGTTCATGGAGTGACAACCACCTCGTGGCACAGGCATGAAATATTTGTGTGGTTTGAGTAGACAAAACCCTGGAATTTCTCAACTTGCATATCCTTTTGGCACTATGGTGAAGGTAAATGTACACATTTCTCAACGCATCTTCACGAGTACGTGGCCAGGTCTTCGCTGCTTCGCTGGCACAAAGATGCATGCTATGTGCAACAAGTTAAACTATGGTAATGCCCAGCATTTGAACTTTCCTTCTGCTAATTATAGTTATATTCGCCTGTAATGTTTGATGCCCCATCTGCAGCAGACCCAATGAAGTTGTTCAATGGTATATCATGTTTAGAGAGGCACGGTAACAGAATGTTATATATTTTCACCAGTCGAACCCTGATTACCGTCAAATACGTTAATCAAATCCAGCATCGCGACTTTGTCATTATCTCTCCGGGTCAAAATATTTCACAAGCATTACACGTGATTTACTTACTGAACAGTCGGTACTTTCGTCAATAATTACACTAAATTTATTTGTAGTTTCGTAACCAAGTTTTGAGTTGCACATAACCCTAAAAATTGCACGACGACCTTGCACCTGGTCCGTTTCGTTGCTGTTTGAGCGGCTGTCTTGGAATCGGGAACATTCGCTTGTTGAGGTCATCAAGGTGGTCACATAAGCTAAAAGGAATATTATGTTTATTTGTCTATACTTGCAACTGAAGAATGTGAGATCACATGCTGCTAAATGAGTAAGGTTTCTGCCACCCTTACTTGGGACTGATTAACACGACCACTTATTGAGCAGTGCCATTACATTTTGGGCTAAAAACAAGAGGAAACAATCACGAAATCATCTGAATTGCATCATGTGGAAACCAGCAACCCTCAAAACCTAGAATGTCATAAATTCTATTCAGAACAGGAACACTCAGCCTTCCCCCCCCCCCAGTCAGCTTTTATGATAAATGATTCAGTTGTAACGGAACCCTCCCCCATTGCCAACTACCTCAATGAATATTTTATTAATTCTGCAAAAATCTTGCAGAGAGCATCCCTGATCACCATAAGGAATTTAGAGCCTACCTGCAAAACAGACAGCAAAATGAGCTGTTCTTATCCGTTGTCGCAGCAGATGAATTATTGGCCATCATAAAAATTTCCAAAGATACAACAGCAGGCGAAGACAATATACCAATGAGCATCATTAAGAAAGTAGCCCACTTATTATTACCTGTTCTCCTACACATTTGTATCTCCTCCTCCACTAGTGGTGTCTTTCCGGATAAGCTGAAAATTGCTAAAGTTCACCCAGCACATAAAAAATCTGGGGACAAATGTTTCTTCAAGAATTACCTCCC